ACCCCAAAATCAGCGCCCCAAATCAGCCTTGGATGATGCTCAAAGATCTCCTCTTGATACTTGGGATTTGTTCCAACAAGATCTTACCTTATCCTTTTGTTATGAAACAACTTTTCATAGCCAATTCAAATTCAAATTCAAACATTTAAATTCAAACGTTCAAACATTTAAATTCTAAATTCAAATTCTAAATTTAAATTCTAAATTCAAATTTCAAATTTCAAAATTCAAATTCAAATTCAAAATTCAAAATTCAAATTTCAAATTTCAAATTCCAAATTCCAAATTCAAAATTCGATTTTCAAAATTCAAATTCAAAATTCAAATTTCAAAATTCAAATTTTAAATTCAAAATTCAAAATTTAAATATTTGATAATTAATTTAACTAATTAAATTAATTAGTAATGTCTTGGACCATCCAAACCCATTACATGATCCATGCGCCCTTTTCCCTTTTGGTGGGCTTCCAAACTTCTTCTTGGGCTAACAACCATTATTAGGCCTAATAACTTTAATGCTATATTATCATGACAATAAGGTGTTAGTGTGTGACCCATTAGGCCCAACATAGCCACTGACATAAATGGGCTTGGGCCCAACAAGCCCACAACCCATCTAATGACAGCACAGAGCACTAGCAATGCTTTGTTGCTCCACAGCTAGTTAGGTTAATGACATAATCATCCTATTACACATATTTGGTTGCCGTATGTATTTCCTTTTGTCTCGGTTACCTTCCCATTAAACCTAGGGTAAGGAAACGTATTAACCCTTGCGGTTTAGGGTAAGCTTTATTCGAAATAGGGAATCTTCAATTTACTGACTCTAACGGCAGATCATCTCATGATCTCTTTTTCTATACATACATTCTCGAGTCCTTGTAAATGTCATCCTGATTTCTCCGGTTTACAGATAACCTAATCTCTCACAGAGATTTGACAAATTCCTTCAGCTTATCACCCTAGCCCTGTGCTCTTTCAGGACAAGCCCAACAGTGTACCTATGAGTCTCCATGTTTCAGGCAGACGAAGTATACAGTCAAAGCGTGCCTTCTAGAACACAATCTAGGTAATAACTTCTGGTCTAAGGAAAGACATACCCAAATATAAAGAGACTACTCTAATGATACTCTCTGTGAGATTTCCTCATAGAGTCTCTTTGTAGGTCTGTTCAGTGTGAGCTATACCCTTATAGGTCCACCCACGACTTTAGCTAAGACATCTCCATATCTGTAGCAGATGAGGTCTTTACCTTGTATCCAAATACAAGTAGATAAGTCGTGCTAGTCTTACCCGAGATCATTGATCCCCATTCTCAGTATCTCTAGACTAGGAACATAGAATTAGGAATAAACGTGCGGAATTCTTGAATCCTCATAATCGTGATCTCATCACAGATACTCAAGAAATACCTGTTCTATTCCAAGGAGTTTATCCAGTTTATTCATAATATAGTAACAATAATATGGAGACAAAATATGAAACAGGATAAAGAGTGCTTATTATTTATTTGCGACAAAAAGGTCCACATCTTATGTCCTTATTTAATCAAAAAGATTGTCTCTAGGACACCCATATATTAACACTGAGAAATTAGAGTTGGCATTATAGAGACCTAAACAAATTCATTGGGAAAAGTCTCGAGCCAAGATTTCAATTGGTTTAATAGTAGATTAGTTGAACCATTTGTCACAAGGGAACACCCTTGGGATACTTGGGAACGTCAACCATGACAGTTCAATACTGTTAACTTATTCTTTTCACTCTTTAACACAACTTAAAATATTAGTTAACAATACTTTCTCCGGGGAACGATAATCTGGGACTTAAACACTCCCTTTTATTACTTGATGCATGCAATTACGCTAAGTGGTCTTCATTTTAGGGAACAAATATGTTTCCTCTAACTGATTGTAAAAAGGACCAAAAGTTATAATCTTATGAACGAATGCGTTTTTCTCGATAGACTGCAAGAGGACCCAATAATGCTGTAGGGAATGCTCCACAGATATCCATATGAGTTAGTTTTAAGACATCTTTATATATTTTTGAACCTACCTTCTTTATGTTTATATGTTTCCCCTTAATATATTCAATGCACACTTGAAAATCATCCAAGTTCAAGAGATCAAGAATTCCATCACTCATAAGCCTTTAAATTCTCTATTTAGAGATATATCCTAACTGCCTATGCCAAAGAGTAGCATAAATCCTCTTGCATTAGATTGCATTGCCTCTTTGTCAATAGTTATAGTATCAATCATATAAAGATTATCAATTAAAGAACCATTACCAACAATATTTGAATCATGACTTTATTAGAACAAGAGTAACCAGATTTGTCCAAACTGGAAATATAAATTAAATTTCACCTAAATGACCGTGCAACAAAAGTCTCATTCAAATCCAAATAAATACCAGTCTTTAACATTAATCTAAAATTCTCAATAGCTTAAACTAAAACTTTCTTGCCATCACCCACAAAGAAGTTTCTTCAACATCACTTGGCGATCGGCTCCATAGGCAACCCTGCATAGACATACTTATGTGAGTAGTAGCACCAAAATCTACCCACCAAGTATCCGTAGGTACAGAAGCTAAATTAATTTTAGAACAAACCAAAGTGAGATTCATACCCTTATTTTTATGTCATGCCTTATATTTGGAGCACTCTTTCTTCATGTGTCCACTTTTCTTGCAAAAGTAGCAAGTATTTTCTTGATCCTTCTTTTTTTGTTTCTTTTGCATGGGTGCTTCATTCGCAGTTTCCTTAACTCTCTTCTTTCTCTTATTTTGAGAGGTTGATGCCAAGTGAGAACTATCAATCTTCTCTCGCTTAAGCCTTTCCTCTTCTTGCACACAATAAGAAATGAGCTCATTAAGAGTTCATTTGTCCCTTTGAGTGATATATCTCACAACAAACTAATTGTATTGTGCAAGAAGAGATATAAGAACCAAGTGCATGAGCAAATCATCATATAGCTTTAACTTTAGTGCCTTGAGTTTTCCAGCAAGATTAGACATCTCTATAATGTACTCCCTTATGTTACCCTTTCCTTGATACTTCATGGTAACTAGTTTTGCCAAAGTATTACTGATAAACCTTTGGTTTACCATGTTTTTAGGCTAAATTATACAAGAGTTATGTAGTAGAATGCATGGAATTCAAGGTTTTACGACATATAAAGCATATGATAGGAAATTGAGATGACGTTTTGATCATATTTTCATTTTGAAGGTAAAACCACAAGAAATGGTGCTAAAAGTGCTAAAGAAATCATGACGATGAAGTAGCGGCTCAATATGGACCAAAGGAAACCAAAATATTACAATTCAAGGTCAAGGAAAGCACGCTCAAACGCACAAGAGGACGCTCGAGCATTTGGAAGCTGGAAAAACAGCCAAACTGGGCACATCAAAACGCTCAAGCGCACACATGCACGCTCAAGCGCCCAAGAATACACAAATTCAGACTCGAGGAGCACGCTCGAGCGCCCAGTAGCACGCTCGAGCGCTCCAAGGCAGACAGCAACAGCAATTTCAGCAATTTGGCACGCTCAAGCGCACAACATCACGCTTGAGCGCCCAAACACGTCCCAGACAGCAAAGATTCACCAAGATTTGTTGAGATTTAAGAAGATTTGTCCAATTATGATATGGAACTAAAACAGGAACATATCAAAGCTGATTCCTGATAAGATTGCAGGAAGATTATAACAAGATTCAAAGCTCAAATCTCTCAACCAATCCACAAGATATTAATTGCAAAAAGGAAACAATTGGAGAATCAATTACAAATCTAATATGGATACGACAAGAGATGCAATGAAGGATACAACCTCCAATGGCTATAAATAAAGAGCTTGGGGTCAGAACCAAGACACCAATTCAGAAATTCATTCATCCTCATTCATACTCCAAGGAGGAATCCTGTTGCGGAGTGCTGGAACACTGAGGAACCAAGTCAACATCACACCAATGGAGGCTTGGGGTTCTCTTTTCTTTATTATTTTTTTTCAATTCAGTATGCTAGAGTAGTCTTTTTTTATGTAGTTAAGGGTAGATGGAACCCAATTGAATCTTTATGTTTATGAATTAAATTGTCTCTGAATCCTGTTCTTTTTATAATTGAATAAATTATCTGTCTTTAATGCTTTCTATGAGTTTGTTCCTTATAGAATGATTTTGGGGAATTGTATGACAATAGGGATGTTGGTGCATGAACCCTGACTTGATAATTTATCGTAATCCTTTTGATCTAGGGATAGACATAGGGTAATTATTCAAACTTGAAATTCTTGATCTTAATGCATGTTTTCTTGGGGAATAATCGGGGAACTAGAGTTCTTTCAAGATTACATAGATTTATGGTAACAAGGAATTGAGTCGTAACTAACTTAGATAGAATTGATTGGCAATATATTAAGAAACGGATTATTGACTGTTTAATTCATAACATATTGAGGATATTGGGGGAAGTCGAAACCTTAACTACGCTTGTTTTAAATTCTTAATTAAACATCATCTTCATGGATTCTCTAAATTCTGAATTTTCTTCATTTCATGCTACTACTTGTTTTTAATTTTAAATTCTTTAAATCACCATTCTCTCAAACCCAACTTTTGATTGTCCGACTAAAACGCAATTAGCGAACTAGTGCTTGAAAATTCTGATCCTCGTGGGAACGATCTCGTACTCCAGTACACTTTATTACTTTACGACCGGTGCACTTGCCGAGTCGCAACAAGTTTTTGGCGCAGTTACTGGGGATCAAATTCTTCAACATTAGAAGTAACTAATTAACTTTTAGATTGGACGTTTTAATTTTATGCACTTTATACATTCTTCAAAAATATTTTTTTGCATTAAAAATCTGCATCAATTTTCTGCATATTTATTTTTCTGCATTCTTTGTTTTTTTATTTTTTATTTTTTATTTTTTCTGTTTTTCTGTTTTGTCTTTTTTTTATTTTTCTACACATCTTTTCAATCTTAGTTTATGCGAGGTACCCTAAACCCGCGAATCTTGCAGTTTGATCCTGAGATAGAAAAGACAGAAAGGAAACTTAGGAAAAACGCAAAAGCAAAGAAAGCGAAGGAAACAAAGGCATCAACTTTGACGGAACCAAAGGAGGAACCTATGGCAGAAAATAATCAACTCGCTCCAAGGACGTTGGGGGATTACATGACCCCAGCTCGAGTCCCACAGACAACAAGCATTGTTAGACCAAACATAGAGGCTAACAACTTTGAACTGAAGCCGGCACTGCTACAACTGATTCAAAAAGAACAATTCGCTGAAGGAAGCACAGAGAACCCCTATAGTCATCTCGATAACTTCTTACTTTACTGTGATACATTAAAAGTAAATGGAGTTCCTCGTGATGCTATCTTACTCAGGCTATTTCCATGCTCACTGAAGGATAAAGCAAGAGATTGGCTGCAGTCTCTACCTGAAGGAAGCGTAACCAATTGGGATGACTTAGCAAGAAAATTCTTGGCTAGATTTTTCTCAGCTTCAAAAATGGCAAGACTCAAGGAGGAGATCACAGCTTTTGAACAAAAAGAAAGCGAATCTTTGTACGAGGCCTGGGAACGATTCAAAGGATCACTTAGGAAGTGTCCTCAACATGGAATTGAAGCATGGGAGAAGGCAAGAATCTTTTTCCAAGGGATGACATCCAGCACAAGAACACTGGTGAATGCTGCTGCAGGAGGATCACTGAAAATAAAAACTCCAGAGGAAGCGCTAGAGTTGTTGGAATCTTTAGCGTCTCAAGAAATTGACAATGCTCCTGCCCCAGTTGCACCAAGAAGAGCAGGAATTATGAAGCTCAAAGGCTATGATGCGCTCTTAGCCCAAAATGAACAAATGCTGCAAAAGCACAAGAAACAACAAGAACAATTAGATGCTCTTACAAAAAAAATTCATTCTTCTCAAGTTTCTTCTGATAATAATTCTAATATTAAATGTGGTATTTGTGTAGAGGCTCATGCAACTGAAGATTGTGACTACATGAGAACAACTGAAAAGCCACCAGCAGAAGTCAATGGACTCTGGTATGATCAGAAGAATCAGAATCAACATCCAGGGTTGAGTCACAAATCCAATCATCAGTTCAATCCTCCCCTTCCAGTGCAACCAGATACCCTACAACAAAGTAACACTTCTGAGTGGGAGAAAGCTTTTGCACAGTTACGCAAGACCACTTCTGATTATGTTCAAGGTGCAAATGCTTTCAGAGAGGACACATCTGCTTTCATGCAAGAGACTAGAGCAGCACACCGGAATCAAGAAGCTTCCATAAGAAATCTGGAAATTCAGATTGGCCAGTTGTCGAAGTAATTTTCTGAGAGAGCTCCGGGTACTTTTCTAAGCAACACAGTTGTCAATCCAAGGGAGTATTGCAATGCTATCACCACTAGGAGTGGGACAATGATTCAGCATTTAGAAGAACATCCCGAAGAAAAGAAGAAGGATGGAGAAGCATCAGTTGAAGAAGAAAAGGAAAATGATACAATTGAAGTTGACGAAAGCAATCCTGAAAATGCTGAAAAGAAACTATTCGAGTGGGAGAAGAAGAAAGCTCTTGAAAGACAGAACAATCCATTGGATCTCTCCCCATATGCTCGAATCCCATATCCTCAGAGATTAAAGAAAGATACTCAGAAGCAGCAGTATTCAAAGTTTCTAGACATATTCCAGAGGTTGTAGATCAATATTCCTTTTGCTGAAGCTTTAGAGAACATGCCCAACTGTGCAAGGTTCATGAAGGATCTATTATCAAGGAAGCGTAAGTTGCAGGAATGTGAGATGGTGAATCTGACGGAGGAATGTAATGCTATCATCCAAAAGAAGTTACCTACTAAAGTCAAGGATCCAGGGAGCTTCAGCATTCCATGCACTATAGGCAAAGTGGAAGTGGACAATGTTTTATGTGATCTTGGAGCTAGCATCAATGTCATTCCACTCTCCATGATGAAGAAGCTGGGGATTACTGAAGTGAAGCCCACAAAGACGATAGTGCAATTGGTTGACCGCTCTTCAAAGCAAGCTTATGGCATCATTGAATATATATTGGTTCAGATTGACAAGTTCATCATTCATGTTGATTTTGTCATCCTAGACATTGAGGAAGATGCCACAATTCCAATGATCTTCGGAAGACCCTTCTTGGCAACTTCAGGAGCACTAATTGATGTACTTAAGGGCGAGCTGATATTACGGGTAGACGGAGAGTAGGAAACTTTCAAGTTCTTTGACAAAGAAGTCCCCTCATCCGTTGCTCAACCGAAAGATCAAGTCTACTTTATTAGTGAAAAGAAAGGTGAAGAAGAACACAATGAGGAGTCTTCTCAAGAAAGTAAGCCAAAAGTTAAGATGGAAAAGCCGAGGAGCAAGGGAAAGCATATGAATACCAAATTCAAAAGTCCCGAGACTACTTTACCTCATCCATATGCAGAAGAGCACTATGGTAGGATACAATTTCTGAATGATGGAGCTTGGTCATCACCAAGATCTACTTTGAGCCACTATGAAGTAGATCAGGTACGTCAGGCTCGTGACGTAAAACAAGCGCTAGGGGGAGGCAACCCACCATTTTACTATTTTTAAGTTTTAATTAATTTTTTTTCAATTAAGAAAAATACAAAAAGATAGGAGAAGGTGTTGAGACTAATGGCTATCATTGAGTGAATTTTACAGGTGAAGAAAATGGAACAAACAACAAGAGAGCGACTGGTTGTTTTATTTCTTGACGCGTTTTCTTTTGTAGATTTAAATCTATTGCTGAGGACAGCAACATTTAAATCTGGGAATGGGGAACGCGCAATTCATCTAAGCACAATTGAGTAAGATGGAGGAATTTCATGAGCACACACAGAATATCCGACTAAAACAGGGAACTATCTCAAATCCTTTCTCCTTTTCTTTAGCTTAATTCCTTTTGAATTTAATTTTTAATTTTTAATTTTTAGTTTGTTTTGAAAACCCCAAGCCACTGTTTTGCGAAAATTTTGAAATTTTTAAAGTTTTCTCAGTGTTTTTAATGGAAAAATGGCGGAAATTTTTTATCAATAATTGATTCAGAGCATGATGATGCACTTGAATATTTTCATAATGAGCATCAATGTAATGATTTTCATAATTCATTGAATATTCTCTCTATAGTGATGAATTTTTTTAAGATAAAGAATAGGGGAATTATTGTGCATTCATAGCCGTGAGGTTTTGAGCCTATATAGAAAACTTTTATTGAGTGTGCATCCCACTGTATGAAAGACTCTAGAACTTTCTTTGTTTCTTGTTTGAATTAGTATGTGATATATTTTATAGATATGATTGGGGCATGTTCTTCCTTTAAACTAGATGGCCAAATAGCCAACCCTTGCTGATATTCCTTAGTTTAACCCCTTTGAGCCTAGGCCTGTTTATTCTTTGAAAACCCATAAAGATGATTAAGCCACTTTCCACATACTCTCCTCACCTTAATTGAGATTGAAATTTTAGATTAAATTGAGAAAAAGGTGTTAGTTGTTAATGATATAAATTGTGGAAGAACAGGGAAAAAGGCAAAAGCCAAGGAAGTAAGGTTGAGTGGAATGAGAAAGAAAGAAATAAAGAAAAGGAAAAATCCTCAGGAAGCAAAGTGAAAAGAAAGAAAGAAAGATTGTTCTGAGGAAGAGAATGACAAACAAGAGAAAGTTGTAAAGAAAAAGAAAAAGAATGGACCGAAAAGAAGAAAGAAAGTGTTTACAAAAAGTAAACAAGTGCATAAGTTCCTCTTCGAAATCTGAATTTTAATCTTGCAGCTCCTTCTCAAAATTTTCCTTCCTTCAGCCAGCCCAAGTTATAACCCTAAGAAAGACCTCTTGATCTATGAGATATGTCACAATACTATGGAGAGCGAGAATATAATCAAGCATATGGTAGTGTTGATTCAGTGGGAAACGAGTGAAACACCAACCCTCTAAACAGTTGAGTGTGAATGAAATGAATTCCTAGTGAGGGAGTGTTTCAGTAAATTCTCTTTATTCTTGATCTTAAGAAATTTTGTTGCAGCTTTTAATTGATGAATTATGAATCTTGTTGATTGATGCATTAATTTTTAGAGTCTGAATGCTCTGTAATCATGTCTCTGATAAATCCTTCTTGTCAAATTCCATGCTTCTGAGATTCCTACTCCCTAATCCCTTAGTTTTATTCTGATTGATTGTTAAGGACATCAATATTCAAATCTGGGAATGTTTCATAAACCTTTGGTTTACCATGTTTTTAGGCTAAATTATACAATAGTTATGTAGTAGAATGCATGGAATTCAAGGTTTTACGACATATAAAGCATAAGATAGGAAATTGAGCTGACGTTTTGATATTTGCATTTTGAAGGTAAAACCACAAGAAATGGTGCTAAAAGTGCTAAAGAAATCATGACGAAGAAGTAGCAGCTCAATATGGACCAAAGAAAACCAAAATATTACAATTCAAGGTCCAAGAAAGCACGCTCAAACGCACAAAAGGACGCTTGAGCGTTTGGAAACAGGAAAAACAGCCAAACTGGGCACATCAGGACGCTCAAGCGCACACATGCACGCTCAAGCGCCCAAGAATACACAAATTCAGACTCGAGGAGCACGCTCGAGCGCCCATTAGCACGCTCGATGTAACAGCCCATTACGTACCGGTATTGTTAACATTGATTATGATATTAAGTGCAGTTCAATCACAGCAGTTTATTTAAAAATACGAGTATACTTTTTTTTTCCTTTTCATTACGTAAGCATTTGAAAATAATATAAAACGTAATGATATAAAATGTGATCATAACTGAAATCTATACGCGGAATTAACATTACACATGCTTAACTATCATACAATATTCCTTTTAAGTTGCTAAGAGGTTCCCATAAACCAACTTAGCAAAATCTTGCTTTTCCATTTTTCCTGACACTGAACATGCTTTTGTCCTTTCACTATTGGTGTGATACACACATTATTAGTTTCCCATCTTTTAGTTTGTTAAAATAGATTCAATTACCTTTCCAAAAAGGTATCACACGCCTCATTTGGAGTTCTATACCTCCGGATACGCTCACTATAAGTTGATCCCTCAAAAATGTAAACAGACTCTAAATAAAATAGGGCAGAAACTTATTAATTAAACAGGGAATAATCCATATACTCAATGGTCCTAAACCTTTACCAAGTTATAGCCCTATGTGTTAGCTTCATATAAGTCCAAACCTCACTCGATTTGGAGCCCTATAGCTCCAATTATGTCCATTTTACTAAATCATGTATGAGCTGGGAACGTGTGACGTTTCCCCATGCACAGGACGTTCCCTACACATATAAGTCGTTCCCTAGGGTCATTCTCACGAGTCATTCCCGTCCCTGCTATCGGAACATCACTTCCATTTTAACATTTCAAGGTTTAGCAGCATTAGTTCGAATCCAAACTGGGAGTGATCCAATGCCCAGAAAATTCTAAATTTTGGATACAAGAAACTAGATTCCCGGGGCTTTAATTTGACATATCATAATCCTGATTTGAGTAAGAAACAAGGGAGATATGAAATTTTGAAAACCATTTACAAAGGCTGCGTTCTACAGCGCGGAATAGAGTAGTCTATATTCATTTGAAAACTGGGCAAGTTCTAATACTCATAATGATACCAAATTTTGATAAAACATAGCTAACATCTCAAGCTTCAAAATGATATATAACACATCTCTATTGGAGCTCTGTGGAGGAAGATATGCTCTCCCAAAGTTAGCCTAAAAACTTTCGTTTTAGTATAAATTTCGGCGGAACCTCCTTTGTTTATTCAACCTATCACACTTTATCAAAAGTGTGTTATTATGCCTTAAGGGTACCTAATAGACAAGGGTGGCACTTAAGGACCAATAATGCCTTGGTTCTCTTACAACCCACAACAATTTAACATATTCTCATCCATTTATGATTCATTACATACTTTATCAAAACTTGGAATTATTACAATAATATTGTCCCATTTGCTTGCATTCTTACAATAGATACATAATCATAACTTAAAATAGGCATATTTCCCTTTCATCACATACATGCTTTACATATTACACAAAGTCCATGAGTTCACAATTACAACTTTCCAAATGATAAATAATACAATTAAATCCTCCAAAGTACAACATGATAAATCAACAACTAGACTTAGGCAAAATATGGCATAAACAAATATGACAATATGCATAATCCTAAATCCATATACAGTGTTCATGCCCTAAGTCTAGCCTATGCCAAAGTGGCCCCAAAAATGCGACAGTGCTCAAATCTTCAAGTGCTCATCCTATGGGCCTCTTGC